GGTACTCTTGTTCATTCATGTATTGTTAAACAATTATCACATTTAGTCTCTGATCAATCAAGTATTTTTATTGATCCTGTTTGTTTTCTTCTATTAGATTCACGTTATACAAGTAATATGCTTTATCGACAACCAAGTTCACCAAACCAACTGTTGCTACATACATCATGTGCAGAAGATCTTTATTCAATTTATCATCTTCAACGTCATTTATGTTGGTATGAGTCTATATTATGGCCTGAAGATATGAAGCAAAGTCATGGTCGAATACATGTATTTTTTTCTGAAGACGATGATATTGTACCTACGTCATTTATAAATGATTATCTAGAAAAATCTAATATTGATACAACTGTACTTTCTGACTTTAAACATGGTCAAATGATGTTAATACCCAGATATCAAAAGGATATTTTGAAAAAATTACTAGAATTAGAAACAAAATCATCGATTAACGATAATGAATCAGTTTCTATCTAAATTCAATACATATATATTTTTTATTCAATAACAAATAAATCAAATTAACATAACGAATTTTTTCAATGTCGTATCAGAGATGATTTTTTCCGTACTGAATAAATTAACAAAGTGCGTATTAAAAACTCAGACTTGTTATATATTTTGCTTTCTTTTTTCATAAGTATTACAGAAAAGTTCTTGTGTTAATATAATTATTTACTTTATTTATAATAATTGATCTTTGTTTGTCAGAAGTCTTTGATCTGGTATTATTTAAGTTTTTGATTAATAAACTTGATAATAAATATGCCAAAAAGATGAATTTTATCTTTGTATAAATTCGTATTAATGATTATTGAGAGGTTTTTATGTAAAAAGCAATCAATATATTAAAAATCGATCTTTTCTATTGATTACTAAACTATATAATTAATTAACTATTTCATCTCATGTGATAATTTCTTATAAACTTCGCGTATTAGGTTTCACTGTTAATAAAAAAAACAATATAATTATGCAAATGTAGTTAAAACGAATGTTGTGCATATCTATTATTATTATCTTTTTACTCATGTGACCTTGTACATATTTTTTTACGTGCTAAAATGCGCACAAAATATGATTTATAAGAAAAATCTTAATTTCTATTTGTTTACTCTCACTTTTAGCTATTTGTCAAGAAATTCGTGAAAAAACATCTAGTCAGATGGTATAATTATAACTGCTGATAGTGGGATCGTATCACTAAATAATGCATCACATGTATCATAAGATAAAAGTTTATCGATTTATATTTATAAATAAAGTGCTTAATATATAAAGTTGAAAATTTATCTCTTTGATTTTTTGTGTCATACTGTATCAATAAGAAGTTTATCTCAACTATGTCAATCTTGAGAAAAATATGATAACGCATTGTATACACATATATGATGTACGTGTTTTGTTCGTTTGTTATTTATTTTCTGTTTCAATGGCTAACAAAAGTATGTATATTCATTTAAAATTAAAAGTTATTTTATATGTATTATTATTAATGAATTAAAAATAAATTTAACTATAGAGAATGACTTGCATCATCTTCTTTTCCTTCACATATATGTTCTCTTTCTATTCTTTTCACATATGTTCGTTTCACCCTTGATTTCATGCACATTTCATCATCTTATTAATTTTTCATTGTTCAGTCTTACCTTTGTTCGTGTGTAGTATATATAATGCTAATTTCTTTGTAATAAATTCTTACTATCCACCATCTTATTTTTCCAATCAGTCATCTGGAGTGATTCGACTTCTCTCTAGAACACAGTACGCTTACAGAAGAAAAATAAAATCGTCTAATTTAAATATTTTATCATAGTGTTATCGAATTTAAAAATTGGACTTCTTGGTGCTGGTCGTATGTCCCAAGCACTTGCACGAAGTCTTATCGAACGAAATGTTGTTTCATCTAAAGATCAAATTATGGCAAGTGATGTTGATGAAAACCAACGAAATATAGTTGCAGTTAGTAGTTTAATCGATATTTTCTATTCAAAAATATTATATTTTATTTTTTTTTGGTAGTCTCAATTAGGTATTGTTACAACAGCTGACAATCGAGAAGTAGTAAAGGAAAGTGATCTACTCATATTAGCTGTTAAACCAAAAGATGTCGAAAGTGTTTTGAAAACTATTCGAGAACCATTACTTCCACATTATCATCTACTTGTTTCAATTGCTGCTGGAATTAGAACAACAACTATTGAACAAGTTTGTTTAAATTAGAATTTAAAAAAAGCTCAGAAATCAACTAATTCGTTCTTTTTACTAGTTACTTAAACCAAACAGTCGTGTAATACGTGTTATGCCGAATGTGGCTTGTTTAGTTAATGCTAGTTGTAGTGTCTATTCATCTGGAAAATTTGCTACTACAGGTTAAAAATAAAATACTATTCAATTAATTTATTATTTTGTATAAAATTTAGATGATCGATCAGTCGTAAATACAATATTTTCATCTATTGGTTCATGTGAAGGTGAAATCGATGAAAATTTACTTAATGCTGTTACTGCTCTAAGTGGTAGTGGACCAGCTTATGTAAGTTTTATAACATTAAAATAGATATTTACAATAAAATATACATTTAGTTTTCTGTATTGGTTGAAGCACTTGCCGATGGTGGAGTAAAATCAGGTTTAAGTCGATCAATGGCATTAACATTAGCTATAAAAACGATGTTGGGTACAGCACAACTTTTACTTGGTAAAGAACAACCATTTCATCCAAGTCAATTAAAAGATGCAGTTGCTAGTCCAGGTAAAATATTAATTCTATTTAATATATAAAAAATATTTCTTTTAAGGTGGCACAACCATATATGGACTTGAAATGATGGAAAAAGCTGGTATTCGTGCAGCTTTAATGGAAACAGTAACAGCCGCAACTAATCGTGCAGCTCAATTAGAATCATAAAATTTTCTCTAATTTATTTATTTCGTTTTTGTTTGTTATCATAGATTTTGATTATTATTCAATAAAAAATAATCGTCTTTGTTTTGTTTATTCTAAATTACAATTAATCATTGTTCTTGATTAGATTAGGATAGTATATTTGCTATAAATGACTTTATTTCAAAGCGAAACTATATTTTCTTAACAAAAAAATAAAAACAAAATATTTAATTAAAGAAAATTTATAAACGACTTCTTTCTTTAGTATTTTCGTCTGTTTTATTTCCATACCGACGATCAACACATAATCGAAAAAAGTCTTTTTGTTGTTGCATTATCTGTTGTAAATCTAAATATTTTTCATGACGATAAACTGGAAATTGTGGTATTCTTTGATAAATTAATGTTGCTACTAAAATTAATTCGTATGCTGTAACACCCCATATGTTATATTTATCAATACTAAAATGATGTGTTATAAAATCATCTCCAACTTCTAACATTTTATAATTTTCATTTGCAAAAAGAAATTGTTCAAGATCAACATAAAATGCATCAGTTGCTTCGTCAGGTGATAAACGAAAATCAACAAATTTTGGTGAATGAAGTAAAGCAATGACAGGTGTTATTACGACAACACGTGAATCAGTTATTGGAAGAAGACATCCAACTAATGAATATTGATGTGGTTCAAGACCAATTTCTTCAAATGCTTCACGTTCAGCTGTATGAATTCTATCACGATCAGTTGGATCAGACATACCACCGGGAAAAGCTGTAGGATATAGCAATGTAAAGATTTGTTTTTTGAATAACTAATTTAATACTCACCAACCATTCCTGTATGAGATCGCATTTTTTCAGATCGTTTTATTAGTAAAACTTCTATACGATTGGTTACTGGATTACAATATAAAGGAACAAGAACAGATGCTCGTCTTGATCGTTTTAATCTTGGTATAGTTTGTGAAAGTTGATCAACATGAGATGGAGTATTATCAAGATATGGTTTTAAACGTTGTTGAATAAGTTCATTAGTAAAGACTTCATTAGATGGTGATGATGATGATGACATCGAACAAACAGGAATAATATGTGAACTTTTTTTAATAATATTTTTTGGAAAAAACCGGCAAAACATCAATCTACAATATATTCATATAGATGTAAATTACAAATAAAATCTTTATATGACTGATTGATTCACCATTAAATAGACTCATTTTTATATAAGTTCTTAACTGATTTTCTCGTTTATTTTTTTTTCTGTACATTAAAAAAGACAATAATAAATAATTGTTTATTCTTTTGTTTTTTCATTTATCCCCATGCTTGTGTTAATGAATAATGTAATACAAGCGTTCCTTCACTACTGAAACAATCATTAACTGATCCAATTGTTGTATCAAGTGCTGGTGCAAATGATTGATTAACATAAAGAAACAATTGTTGTTGTTGTTGAGAATCAAGTTGCATATATTTTTTTAAAAATTCTACAATATGACCCATAGTTTTTGATCTTGGTAATGCCCATTTTTTTTTCTTTAAAATTGGTGCACCACCAGCTGCTTTAAGAAGAAAAACAACTTTTGCACCACCTTCAGAATCATTGAGTGGACCAGAACGTGTTGTATTAGAACTTGTTTCTTCATTCGTTACTGCAGAATTCGATGCATTCCCTAATGATTCATTTTCATCACCTTCAACTGTTGACATTATTTATAATCTAAAAAAATAAATATATAGAAAAAAATCATCAATTCTCAAACGTTTCAATAAATTATTAAGCAAAAAAAAGTATTTTAGTCTTATCGAAGATTTAAAAAAAGATGCTATTTGAAAACATAGTCATAGGTGATTTTTCATAACTCTCAAATAGTCTGAAATTTATCTATAATCTTCCATTTTTCCACATAAAATACAAAAAAAAATATTTGAATTTTATTCAACAATTGTTATCTAAAAAAATAAAATCAATATAAGATTAAATATAAAAAATAAAATATGATTACCTGACTACATGTCGAAAAAGAACGAATCTCATGAGAGAATATTTTGTTAAATAAATAATTCATTAATAATCTAAAATAGGCAGCACTCTTTCAAATACTTTGCGAATGACAGTTCTAAAATGCCTGATTGCAAGATAAATTTAATATACAAAATAAGATAAAATAAAATAAGTGAGACTACAAACACACACGCACACATCTGACTCTAAAAACGAGTTTATATTATGGTTCAACTGTTGTTCTCGGCTGTTGTTGCTGTGGCGGTGGCGGTGGTGGTGGTGGTAGTAGTTGTTGTTGTTGTTGCTGTTGACGATGATGATGATGCTTTCTTCTTCGCTGTTGTTGCTGTTGATGATGTCTAGCATTTGCTGTTGTCTTTTTTACAATGACTTTAGGTTTATGAGTATTTTGTCCATTATATTTTTTTCGTCTTCTATTACGTTTTTGTAATTCAGCTTCCATACGTGCATTTGAAAGTGCATTAGAATAATCCGATGGTAGCTGAGCAAGTGTTGTACCAGCACAAAGACGATATTGCGTAGAAAGATCTCCAGGTAAATGAAAAAGTAATGTTGTATAACAATTATTTTGATCACGAAGTGGTTCAACAGATACAACATGTGGTGAATAATCAATATCTGTACGTGTTGATGGAAGAAGTAATGGAATATCAACAGATGATGATACAACTGGAGAAGATAACTAAATAAGAAAAGAAAATTTTTGTTTGTAATTTGAATAGAATATTTAAATAAACGAGTAAACCTGTTGAAAATTTTCTTCATCATTTGATATTATTGTTGATGGTTTAATAAATAATTGAATTTTAGCAAATGGTCTTGCCATACGTTTATGATATTCATGTTTAAGTGTTCGTCGTCGACGATGAATTTCATAGGCAAATTTAACTTTCCAAAAACAAATTCCAATAGAAAGAAAAAGAAAAAATGAAGAAAAGAAAACACTGAAAAATACGAATAAATCTATATTCATTCTTGATTGATAAATTTTAATAAAACCATGAGTTTTTATTGATGAATATAATGAACCTGTTGTTAAATGTATTGCTCGATAATCCGAAAGTGAAAATGATATAGATTGATGTATTGGATCAAAAAGATCGGATGAACGTATACGTGATAATGGTTGATCAACTAATAAACAACGAAGATTATCTTGTGTAAAATCAATATTTGCTGGAGATATTAATAATGTTAAACGATGACGAGATGATAAATTTCGAAGAATAATTATATCAGATGGATCAGAATAAAGAAGTCCTAATTAATAAATAAAACAAATTTTCAAAGCTCATCCATTAGGAAAAATGGTTACAAATCAGAATCGATTAAATATTAGTCATCGAAATATAGATTGCCAAAGTTTCAGAGATGGTTACTTTAGATCTATACTTAAATGCATAGAACAATCACTAGAAATCATATTATTATAGTAAATATCGTCAATAATATACGGTCGAACAATATTTGACCATGAGCATTAGAATCAATATTTACATTACATTAGTCTAATAGATCTTATTGATTTACTTCTCGCTATACTGACTGAATCTTATTTCTATTAAAAAGTTCACTTACCGAAATTTAAATCTTCATATGTTAAATCATAATCTCGAATAATTGGTTCAATATCAGTTAATGATTGATGTTCATAATAAACTCGATGATCATTTAATACAAGAAAATTTGCATTTCGTATTGAACATATGACATCAACAAAACCATTTTCAATTCCAATTAAAACACTACACACAAACAAAAATTATCATTTGTTTTTATTAATATTATTTTATTTACCGAATGTTTAAATTTCGATAACTTGGTGTTATTTCAAATAATATTGTTCCATTATCTTCACTTTTAATAATTTCATTACCATTTGAACATGATTTTAAAGTATTTCCATATTCAAAACATTGAATTGTATCAGTTGTTAATACTCTTTATAGAATAAGAAAAAAAGATTTTTCAAATAAAAAATTCTAATTAAATAACAAACTTATAACATCGATGACCACGATCAGATGTAACACCATTATAACCACGTTTACATGTATTACATTGTTGATGAATTCTTGAACGACATTGACCATGTTCTTGATCATGAATATATGTACGATTTGAAAGACAATGATATAGATTGACATCAACTAAATTTGAATCTAATAAATGTGAAAGACACCAACAACCATCGGTTACTTTAAAAAAGAACAGATTATTTTTTTTTATTAATTTAAATTTTTATTTACTATTTGTACGACAATCGTATGTTTGTCCAGAACATGAACATTCAAAACAAGTTGCTATTTGTGATTTTAGTTCAATTAAATGTGATAGTTGTTTTCCATTCGGTCGCTGTCGACAATACTCACATCGATGACCACGAGTAAAATTTCCACAAAATAAACACACCTAATTCAAAATGAAATTTTTATTCTGGACAAAAAGATAAAGATAAGATAAAAATATTTTCTTTGTTTTAGTCATAGAAATATACTCAAAGAGATAAATAAATAAATAAATTACTAACCGGTTCATCATTATTTTTATCATGATCAAATAAATTCGATTGATTCGAACGTAAAAATGAATGAACAATATCAGGTGTCAACTGTTGTTGACATTCTCGAATATTTCGAGCATAATACATCGATGAACAAATACCACGTAATTGATTAGGATATAAACATACATTTGTTTGATAATTACAATGAGATAAACATGATACACATGAACCTGATTTTGATCGGAAAAAACTAGAATATATGAATAAGAATTCTATTTTTATTTAAAGAAAAATTATTTTTTCTACTTACTCAGTTCGATTGTTTACTTTACATTGATCACCATATGATAAACCGATAAAAAGTAATAGAAACAAATAATTACAACACATTCGTTTTGTAATTCAATAAACTACATTTTCATTATTAAAATTTTTTTATCTATAATTGTAAATAAATATATTTTTTATCTCATATAATAATATAAAATTAACTATATCAATATGACCTTAGTATTAAGAATATTATCTATAAATTCATATATTTATATATTCCTATACTTTTAATCCAAGAGAATATCGTTAATATAACTAACTAATCTATTTTTGATTGTAAATATTTCAATTAACCATGAATATTCTGTCATTCATCTATTTTTATAATATCGATCTCTATAAAAAACAAGAAGTATCCAACCTTGTTTCCTATTGGTTAATATTCTTAACAAATCAGAATATATCATTAAACCTCAATAATCTATTATCTTCTAATCTTTTTTTCCTTGAATGAATCATTAAAATGAAAAAACATTCATAATACTTTATTGTAAATAATTATTGAAAATATTTCTTATAAAAAAAGCCATCTGTCAAAATTGATCAATGGTGGCCATGCTGTCACATTGATGGTTTGTCTTACTTTCATTTATACGTGCGTGACTTATGAACATTACATACTAAATAAAAAAATAAACTCTTCGAATAAAATTTAACAACCATTGTTAATTCAAGGATTTTATTATTTCTTCTTTTTCTAGAGTTTGTGTTGTAGCATTAGTTTTATTTTATTACCTACTTCTTTATTTCGAAATGGAAACACAAGAACAGCAAAAACCACAGGTAGTTTATTTCATTGGATTATAGACAAAAACAAATTTGTTTTTTCTTATAATTAAATTTCAATATTTATTATTCTAGACCGTATCGGTCACCAATCCATATTTATTACGTTTAAAGTGTTTTCTCTGTCAAGCACCTAATACAAATGTTAATGATGAAAATAATAATTTAAAAAAAGATAATAGTAAGATTAAATAAAACAAATTTTAAAAAAATTATTTATTTCGTTTATAGATACAAATGAAAAATCATTTAATCCTATTTCAAAGGTAAATTAGAAAATAAAAACTTACTTTTTCGTAAATTTAAGATCTAGTTTAATATAGATTAGCCTATATTCTTGTAGGAGAGTACGGTCATGAGTTCGAAAAAGATATTCTCGAAATAAATATCATAGGAAGTATTTGTCGACTTGATTCTAATATAGAAAAATCGAAAATATTTTTTTTTGGGTAAAAATATTGTTTAATCGATACTTGTCCTTGAAATATTATATTTAAAATTGAAGACTTATTTTTATTTTAAATAACAAATTGAAAATTTTATTATTTTAAAGCTTCCGTTGTACACATGTCCGGATTGTGAAGCTAAAATTCGATTAGAAGAAAAAGAAACTGCAAGTACTTCAACTGTAACTTCTCAAGTATGACTTAATTTTTGTTAATAATAATAAATTTCTTATGAATATATTATTTAGGAATTAGAAGGAGAATCTGATCGAATGATAATTGTACCGGATACAAGTTCTGACGATGATTATTGGTGTCAATCATGTACTGATGATGAACATGATTCAAATAATCGTCAATTATGGGATGATCTTTCTCATATTATTAAATGTGTTTATCGTGCAACAGATAAAGATTTTTCTGGTTTGAATAATTAATAGTAAAAATTTGTTAATTTTTCTTTCTTTCTTTCTTTAGAGAATCATTTTTCTGATGATATTTGTAAAGCAAAAGAATATGTGAAAAAGTATTGTTCTTTTTTTTTTCTTCTAAAACTTAATCATATATTTATTTATTTAGATTATCAGACATAAATTCTCAATCTTTATTTAATAAACTTGAATCAATTGTACTTGAATATGTTCGTGAAATACGAAATCAAGTATTACAACGTTTTCATACATGTTCGAAAACTTCTCATGATGTACAATTATTTATTTCATTTCTTTTGGATGAATATAATATGTTTATACAAGCAGCAAATAATGTTTCAACAATTGTTTCTTATTTAGTTCGTATTTTCTTCTAAGAAAATAAAATATATATGAAAATTCTGTTTTTTCGTAGGAAGAACATTATATGAAATCGTTTAATTTAACATGGTTATTATATAATAAACATTTGTATGAAAAATTAATTTATATGGATAGAAAAATTCAACATTCAATGTCAACAATGATTGATTTATTACAACCATCGAATGAACTTGATAATGATTATCCACCAGCTGAATATACACAATTATTAAATCGATTTTTAGCATTCGATGAAGAAATGTCCGAGATTGCATGTTTATATAAAGATTTTCAAGCTAAAACAAAATCACCATCATTAGATATTCGAATTTGTAATGGTTATCAAACGGAAAATAATACAAAAATAAAAAATAAGAAAAAATGTAAAAAAATTAAAAAATCAAAACAATTACAAACATCAACAGAAGATAATACTAATAGGTCATTATTCTATTCTTAATAAAAAGGATTTTAAATATGTTTTATTTTATTATAGTTCGTCGACAACAGCTGTCGACATTCCAACATCAAATGTTACATTATCAGCACCTGTTCCTCCTGAACAAGGTTCAAATGGTTCATCGATTGGTTCAGGTATTGGTGGTGATGAATCATCATCAGTATCATCTGTTGATGATTATTTACTCGATAATGAAACATCATCATCAGGTTATACTCAAGAAGAACAAGAAGATTTTGATCCTTTATTTACTGAAGAAGATTTAAATGAATTATTATTAGAAGGTTTATTAGATGGTATTTCTCCTTTAGCTAAAATGCATCATGAAATTATGCAATCAAGATTAAATGAAAAACAAACGGATTCATCATCAACAACAACAACATCAACAATTGATAATGATAAATGGATTAAAGGAATTATTCAAGGAATTAAATCAGCACATGAACAAGAACAAAAAGCAACTTCTAATGATGTTAATACGAATGTTCGTTGTACAACTACAAAAGAAGTAACAAATGGTAAATAATTAATCTAATCTTAATTTATTTATTTATTTATTTATAAAATTTAATATTATTTTAGTTCCAACATCTTCTGAATCATCAAAAAAATCTTCGTCAACAAAATCTAAATCTCATAAATCATCTCATCGTCGTAAAGAAACTACAACAACAACAACTCAAGCAACAACAACAACAACATCAACATCTCAAATACCAAAAAAATCTATTGCCGCTGATTTAATTCTACCACGTTCAATTGCTGATCTTTCAGCTAAAATTCAATCCGTTTCATTTACAGCTGGTACATTTGGTTCGATAACATCGGAAAATCCAACTAAATGTTATGATTTATCTTCATCATCAAATTGTTCAACAACAACATTAACAGCAGCTAAAACAACAACATCAACAGGTCAAACACGTTTAAGTATTAATTTAACACGTAAACCAGGTGCAAAAACAACTGAACATGGTGGTCAAAAAATAGCTGAAGCACTTTTTAATGAATTAACAGGTTTTGGTACAAATGAATGTTTAAATAGTGGAAGAAAAAAAGATAATCAACAATTTAAAAAAAGTAAACAACAACGTTCAACAATCAATGAAACATTATTAAGTAAATATATAAATAGAAATAAATAGACAATACATAGATAAATATTTATTAAATTTAGATTCAACAAATAATACTCATTCATTTTTTAATTCAACAAATAAATCTGATTTAAATGCATCATCATCATCATCATCAACTGCTTCAAATAATTTAGATTATCTTCTTCGTAATGCTGCATCAAATACTGATGTATCTGAAGCTGCGTTACATTCAATATTATCATCATTTCATTCTCAAACATGTCTTGATCCATCAATATCAACAACAACAACAACATCATCGTCATCATCAAAATATTCTATATCATCAAAAACAAGTGAAGCATTACAAACATTACTTGCTCAACAACATCATCATCATCACCATCATCATCATCAACAACAGCAGCAAAAACGAAATTTATCTAATAATAATACTAGCAATAATACTAATACTAATAAACATTGTGAATTTTGTTGTTGTGAATTTTCTGAAGGACGAACTTGTTCAACATCATCAACATGTCTTCATTTATCATCAACATCAAATACGCTCAATGGACCCATTACTAGTTGTGTTACATGTATGGCTTTACCAGGTACAACAACAACAACATCAGTTATAGGTGCAACAATAACAGGTGGTTGTAATCAACGTGATGTTCAAGTAAAAGAACGTTTACAACTTAAATTAAATAAAAGAAATGTACAAAATCTAAATGAACAACAAACATTAGCAAAAGATCAACAAAAGAAAACGACGACGACGACAACAACAGCAGCAGCAACAACGAATAAAAAACAACCGATACAAAATAATACAAAATCAAAAGAATGTTTTCTTACTGATAAAAATGATATTGATGATTTAGTTCGATTTATTGATGGAAATGAAACAATATCATCGAATAATAATGAACATCAAACATCATCATCATCATCATCATCAACAACAACAATAACAAATGAATCAACTTCAAAAAAAAATAAGAAGAAAAAAGATAAACAATCAAAAGTAAATCACACTGAAGAAATAAAAACAAATTCTTCTCAATCTAAAGAACAACAACAACAACAAACAAATCAGAAAAAACAAAATCGATCTAATATTACTCAACAAACAACGTATGTTTTTTATTTAGAAATATTCTATTCTATTCTTTTCATATGTATAGAACTTCTCAACAACCATCTCGTAGTACTTCATCATCATCAACATCTACGAAAGTAACATCTGGTATATCATCAACTCCTCCTGTCAATGATGAAACTCAACAACCTTTATCAAAACGTAAACAAAAAGCAAAATTAAAACTTGAACAACAACAAAAACAAGCAACAAATAATATGGAATCATCATCACCAGTTAATTCAAATACAACTGTTACAACTATAACTCCTACACCGGCATCTACTGTTCCTGTTACAGTACTTCCGGGTCCTTCTTCTTCTTCTGCTTCTTCGTCTTCTTCTCAGGGAATTAATTCAGCTCGTACTAGTGTGGATCTTCCGTCTGAAAGTTTTGATACAACAGAAGAGGAAGTCAATTGGATAACTATTTCACGTAAACAAAGTAAACATAAGCCATCACCAGTATCTGTACCATCTTTACTTGCTACACCTATTCTACCTGTTATGCCACCAACAAATACTAAACGACAACAACAACAACAAACGATGACTAATACTAAGAAAGTAGCAACAACAACTAATGGTTCATCTCTTGCTCAACAAAAAGTGATACCGACAGCCGCCGTAGCTACATCACCTGTTCCCCCAGAAACTACGCTAATTACTAATAAACAACAGCAAACTACTATAGCTCCATCTCGTCTTCAGAATGTTATGAAAAATCATACTGTAGTACATCAACCACAGAAAGTTGAACCACCATTGGAATCACAACCAACAAGCCAACCACCATTAAATCTTTGGACAAATAATAATATTCATGATCATACTTTAGGTAAATACAAATTTTCATGTTTTAATGATTGCATTAATGATGTTTTTCTTCTATTTAGCAGCATCATCAACTCTTCTACCTACAACATCATCTTTTATCCCATCACATTTAATGCCATCTCCTTCTCTTGTAGCACCAATTCCTATCGGTGGTACATCTAATATTACACCATCTTCTTCAATGTTATCCGAAGGTTTATCGTCTTCTCTCTATTGGGATCCTAATGGTTATCTTTTACCATCATCATCTCAATCGACTATAGCAGGTCCTGTACAACGACCAAGTCCATCGTTTTCACCGGCACCTGGCGCTGTTAATAATACAACATCTCGTTGTATTCAACGACCTTCACCGGAGCCACGTTCGTGTTCAGCAAATAATGTTCCTTTTCCACTCTATTCTCCAATGAATTATGCTGCGGGTAGTTCAACTTCAACATGGAATGATACACCTATAACAAATACACATGAATCACAATGGAACTATCCTCAGGAACAACAACAACAAATTGGATCATCGATAACTTCAACTGATTTTCCTCTGTATGATCCATTTCATAGTGGTGCTGTACTAAATATTCCATCAACAACACAATCAACGCTATTGTCAAATGGTTTTTCAGGTAGATGAATTAATAAAAATAGTTCTTCTTTTTATTTATTGATTTGTATTTAACAGAACATTTTACTGATCTGTGTACTTTTCCACAAAATAATGATATTAATGAAATGGATGCACTTGATAAAGAAATTGAAGATTTTAAAAAGTAAATTATGATTTATTTATGAAAATATCCTATTTTTATTATTCTTATTTAAAGATTCTGTTTCGAAACTGTCCCGTTGGAAACACGTGAAAAGGTGCAAGTCAATGTTGATCGCTGCTTTGTTCGTCAAGCATGATGACTGAACATTCTTATTCTATTCTATCAATCTTGTCGTTTATCTCGTTCGCATTGTACAGATCTATCATATTCTGCGAGAAAAAACACAAATCAATAGAGAAAACAAATTTATTATACACTTATACGCAAAAGTTTTTCTTCTTTTTGCCTTGCGCTTGCTCCTATCATTTATGATATAAACATAAATAAAGACGACTGGAAAAAAAATAAATAATATAGAAGTTTTTTTAATACTTGAATAATTATGAATAATAACCATAAGGAGGTGGAGGTCCTGATTTAGGTTGTGCTGATGATGAATTTGGTTGATATTCTATATTAACAAGTACTTGTCCTGATGGTCCATTGGAATTATCTCGTAACGGAATCCATCGTTGTTGTTGAGCAGTCCAATTATTATTGTTGTTAAACAAAATTCGTACAGGAATTTCACCATGAGCAATTGTTTGTTGTTGATGTTCTGTTTGAATCCAAATAAAAAGTTGATCATAATCAAATTGATAAATTGGAAATGAAAATTGTTGTTGAAATTGTCCCAATGTTATTTGATTTCGTTGTTGATTACATTCGATAATAGCAACTAAAGGTCCCCATTGATTTAAACCTTCAATATGATTTACACTGAGTAATAATTGACCACCTCCCATAGATGTCGGTGGTGGTGGTGGTGGCTGATAGTATGGTTGTTGTGGTTGATACTGAGGATATGATGCTTGTGGTTGTGATGGTGGTGGTGGTGATGATATTGGACCTTGATTGACCGATGCAGAATGAGAATCATGATGTTTATTTTGTTTACGATTTTTCCACCAATCTTGAGTTTTATCGACTGCTGCATTAACTGCTCGATTTTCCAGATTCGATACGACTACCCATTCAGTTATTTGACCAATACGACCCAAAAAATCCGACATTGTAAATTCTTATAAAAAAGTTGATAATGTATTTCTTTATTTTTGCTAAGATTAGTTTTTACTTCTTTCAACTATGGCGGATCACGAGAAAAATGAAGTAGCGAACAAAAAAATGTTCCTTTTTTCTTTCTCTTCCTGTTAAATTACGCATTTGGATCTCTCTCCGTCTCTTACCGGAGGGTTTTAGTATTTTTTCGGTGCCATAAAGAAGAAAAAGAAAAAGAACGACGACATTGTGTTTTACTTTTTATTTTGTCATACGCAAAGTTCGTTAGTGTGAGTCATTCTTGTTGCTAAGCCAATTCCTACAGATGTAATAATTCATGCTAAATCTTATGTAGGATGTATCTATGATTTATATTCTATATTATGTATAAACGAGAAAAATAATGACAAGTTTTATATATCAAGTTATTATGTTGAAATGTTTCACCATACTGGTCTTTGATTTAGTATTTTCATTTTATTTTGTACCAAAAATATAGTCATGTTCTAGAAGTATCTTTGTCGTCTCAGTTTTCATATAAGCTCGTTGACATTTTATACGATTCTTTTTAATACTTTAATTAGCAGTATTTCATATAAAAGAAAAAAACTCGATTACTTTCACTGCTATTTCAATTTTTGTAGTGTCTTTAATGAATACAGATGTATTATGTACGAAGGTCGTAGTATTACCAACTTTTTCTGATGTTTGAATGGCCACGTCAATACAAATCGCGTTTTAAGAGAGATTAGTGATATTGATTTTCTGGCTGTTATTTGTATGAGTAGTCTTATCACACCTATTTCTCTTTCAAGTACTGAAAAAAGCCTCAAATCCTTCACGTCTACAGATAATATTTCAAACACTATTAGTGTCTCAGCCTATATTTTTTTGATAAATACAATTTCCTAACTACTCATAATATTTTATTTATAATCAAAATATATTGATAAATTCTTCACTGTTATTAAATACTAGAACAATAGATTATTCTTTATTATTCGATTGTTATATAATCGGTTATCTTTATGCAAGCATTTCAATATTAAAATATACTTTTTATTTAGTTTTTCTAATTAAATAGTTTTTAAAGTGCATGAAATGATTGGAAAAAATTATTTGTTATTCTTATTTTGGTTGTATCAAAGCATATAAAGCAATTGATGACAATTGTGACAATTGACTAATTAACTGCTGTGAAGCAATAAGTATTTCTCGCTGAACTGTTGCACCTTTGATTCTAAAAGAAAATTCAGGTTGTAGCACACTTGCGTCTCGATAATATCGGATCTCTGCTTCTGCTTTTTCTCCTGCTAAACGAATCTCAAAATCAGCTGTTTGCAATGTCTTCTTGCCATATGAATTAGGAATGATAATAATTGGTTCGTTGGAACGTGTGGTTTTAGTAGCAGCATCGATAAGAATAGAAGATAGATTGATTGCAGTTGTTTGATCAAAGTCTAATGATAGATCAGTAGTATAACTATGTGCAAATTGAGGTCTAATACGACCATTTTCACCATGTACATCAAGTTCAAATTTAATCTTTGTTGTATCAATATAATTTTGTGCAACCTAAGAAAAATATAAGAAAATATTTGATTGAAGTAAAAGAAAAAATATTTACCGTTAATGGGACACATGAAAGTCCTGGATCAGCATTTGAAATTTTCATAACAATATCAGCTGGTTCAGTTGTTTTCTTTTGTCGTGATTTAAATTTGATTGGAATGAAAAATTCTTCGGATAGTTGACTGTTTTCTGGAGTATAGTCAACTATAGTCATATTCTTATATTTTAAAGATGATCGTGAAACTTTGAAATCAATAACTTTTGTATCTTCAATCTTAGCTAATACATCAATAAATTTCATAACACCAGCTTGAAATGAATTTGCTAATAAATCTGGTCGAAGAACAACTTGATATTCACGTGATGAATATTCACATTCCATCGAAATAATTCGATGGATATGATAAAATAAAATCCACAGAGCTATCAACATATTGATTTTAAAATATTTTGTAATAGAATTGAAATGAATATTTCTTCGTTACTGACATGGTAATATATAGTTATTAGGTTAATACTAGACACTGTCATTCGATATCTGATATCATATGATTTAGTAACATTCGCCGATAATTTTAAATGGGGGCGTTTAACAGTAAAATATTGATATTTTTCATTAAATATTTACTGATGGATAATCGTTAAAGTTAAATGTCATATAATAATATGAGGACTCAATATGAAAGATATATTACATTTCAATGCATGTGATGTACTCTCTTCTGACAATATACTGAAGTATTGACTTTGATATTTTTATATTAGTTTTTGCTTATCAAACTCGATTAAATCCCAAGTACAATGCTTCGTATTGATTTTTCATTTATTCGAGATGAATGAAATTAATATTAAGATTTCAAAATATTATTTAACTTTTTCTATCAGAATACTATTTGCATGTTAACTGTTCACAATCGATAAGAATGAACGGTGAATATATAGACACGTGATTCGTGCACACCCGTAATACTTTTAATAGAAGTAAGAAAAGAAAAAAAGAAAAAATACTGGTGAAACAGTAAACTCTATAACATCATTTTTTTTTCTACTAACAACAATGTTCTCCCTTTTTGCTCCAACAATTATAGATGTGCGTCTTATTGGTTCGTTTTCTCAATGGAAAGAAATCTTAATGAATCGTCAAGATGATGGTACTTTTATCTGTTCACCAAATATTTCTGATGGACAACATGAATATAAATTTCGAATAAAACGAAAAAAAGAAGATGATCAATGGATTGATATTATTGATCCTTATGTTACTAAATATGATCCAGAACAAAATACTGGTATTATGTGGGTAAAAGAAGGAAAACGTTTGTTAAATGATGCAATTGACTACAAATGGAAATATGATCTTATAAAAATGCCTGAAAATAATAATTTAATCATCTATGAAATATATGTAGCTGATTTTTCAGATAACGAACAATTTACAGGTGTAATAGATCGACTTGATTATTTAAAAGATCTCGGAATCAATGCTATTTTATTAATGCCTATTGTAGGTAAGTTAATTGATTTTTTTATCATTTAAATTATTCATAATAGCATAAAATTCTGTTTAGAATCATTAGGTTTATCTCATGATTGGGGTTATGTACCTCGAAATTTTTTTTCTCTTAAATCAACTTTTGGAACTTGTACTGATTTTAAAAATCTTGTTGATCAATGTCATCGACGTAATATTCGTATTTTATTTGATGGTGTATTTAATCATACAAGTGGTGATTGTCCACTTGCTATTATTGATCAAGATTATTGGGTAATTTTATGAATATAATTTATTTAATTAATAAATTAAATACTTTTCATTTAGTATTATATAGGAAAACATAATCCAGATGGTAAATATTTATAGAAAAGAATAATTAATATTTTCCGTTTTTTTCTATATAGATCCTTATTATTGGGGACCAGAATTGAATTATGAGTTTTATGATAAAATACGAAATATTAAACCAGCTGTTCGTTATATTAGTGATGTTGTCAAATATTGGATTGGAGAATTTCATTTAGATGGTCTAAGATTTGACGCAGGTGAATAACATATAAAAAAATAAATTTTATTTTGATTGAAAAATATGTTTTATATTATTTTAGCAAAACAAATGGATAATTATGATATCTTACATGAATTAGATCAAGTTGCTCGTAATGCTGCTCGACCTGGACAACCGTTTACTACACAAGCAGAACATATGCCTGAAACTTTGAATATTATTAAAGAAAATGGTGGTCCAACAGATACATGTTGGTCTTTATCATTTATGAATAATATAGATGAAGCTTTAGCAGATAAATTCGATTTAGATAAAATGAAATATATCATTGGAACACCAAATCTTATTAATTATACTGCTTGTCATGATAATAAACGTTTATTAGCACGACTAAATGAAAGATTATCGGGTTTTGATGATGAAATATTTCGACGAATGAAATTAGCAGTAATTATTTTAACAACATCGGCAGGTATACCATTAATCTGGCAAGGTGATGAAATAGGTGAAGCAACATCCGTGGATGAAACTGATGAGAATAAGTAAGTGTTAGTCTACATTGTTTTCCTGTAATGAATATTCGTCTAGAACGAAAATCAAACGACCAATGCATTGGAATTTACTTAAAAATAAACGAAACCGAAATCTTTTCAATACATTCAAATATTTATTCGCATTTCGTCATAAGACTGATAGTCTACGTAATGGTGAAGTTGATTTTTGTTATGAAAATACTGATGATCAGGTTCTCGTCTATCGTCGAGGTGTAAATATTATCATTCTCTGTTATTTTTCAAATGAAAAACGATTAAATTATACTATTGAAAATATATCTACAAAAGCTAATACAATATGGATTGATATTTTAACTAATGAATATTTTATAGTCAACGATCGCAATACTTTAGTTTTAACTCTCAATTCATATGACGGACGAATATTACTACAGACAAATAAACGTAATTTTCGTTTCTGTCTTCCTGTTCCATGTTTTCACGATTAATTTTTTTAGAATATCTTTTAAATTTTAATTTATATACTATGAATAAATATACAGAGGTTGATTATTTAAGTAAAAACTGTAGAATTCGAGTGTAAGTTGTATGATTAAATACGATTCCAATATGTCCAGCATCAACATATTCAACATGTGACGGAAGTTCTTCTAGTAAAGCACATTTTTTATTAGCCATAAGTGCGTCAAATGTAGCATTAATATTAAATAAATCATTAATTTTATTAATATCACGTATAGAATTTGTTTCTGTATGATTTGAAGGAAGAGCAACAGTTATTATTTTTCCAATAAATGGATTTGCTTGTGGTACTGTTCGAAATTTCAAATTACCATCTCCATCAATATATGAACAGTCTTGAGTAAAAGCACTGTATAAAGCAAGATTTCCTCCATCGGAATGTGCAATAATATCGATCAACGGGATGGTATTCGAATTCTTTTCAAATGAGCCAATGTCACTTTCCTCAGTTATTCTTCTTAATCTCAATTTTGGAGCTCTTTTGTGTATAATAACGAAGGTATTTATTTTATTTTGATCAGATTTAGAGTTGTCAGCAGATTTTTTATTCGAATCAGAATATAGTTTTCTTATTTCGTCGATTTTATTGAAAATTTTCTCACGCATTTCTTCCCGAGGTAAACCAAAACCGAGATCTATAACAAATACAGGAATATTAGCATTTTTTAATGTAATTGCTAAATCACCAAGATATGACCATGATCCAACTGCACCATGTAATAATAAAACAGGACGATGACAACTATATTCTTCATCCCATTGATTGAAACCATAAAATTTTGGATCATTACGATATTTTTTAAAAGTATACCATACAGCTTTACACATCGTATGTCCTTCTAAAAAAACCATCCCAAATATTGCTCCCAGAGCAGGTGAAATATTCTTTTGCATAGTTTTAACTAAACATGTATTTATATAGAACCAGATATAATATAATTTTTGTCCTAACGTTAAAATCCAACGTATAATAACCATAGATGTTATAATATTCGAAAAATTGCTTGTTTGATTTTTAGTCGATTGCATATTTTGGCTGTCTAAATGAAATTGTATAAATTTGTCTTTAATATAATTTACAGAATGCGTAGAAGCACTCCTACATAAAAGTACAATAGAATGCATGCATGAATGCTTCTATATATGTGATATTTACTATAACAAAAAAAAGTAATGAATTCTTATATAATATATTCTATAATACGACAATCTTTTCAAATATAGAAAATGAGTTGACTATATATATATCTTGTTTTATCTTACAATTTATCATGATAGATAGAAGTTGATAAGAAATTGATTATACAATGTAGAGAAAAAAATCAAACACTTACTTAATGAAGGTAAAATCTATTTTGATATTTTTTGGTTATATTATGATGTTATGAAGGAAACGTTGACAGTAAACAATGAATAAGTATTTTTTTTTCTTTCTTTTTTTGATTATTGCATGTGGATGCCTTTCTTTTTTACTTTCATTACTCAGCTGTAATTGAATGCCGATGCATAAAATATAATCAATTTAGACGAGAAAATGACTCAATAAAAGCATACACGTATATATTTTCTAATTGGAAAAATGCGTAATTATCATAGATCGTCTTACTATTAGTCAAACAGAATTTGAAACATTCATGAGATTTTGTACATGTAATATTTAGAAGAAAAAAAATTAGTAAATTTTTGATCTTCTAATATTCATGATAATTTAGAACCTATACTCATATTTTTATCAAGATCAACATCTTTGGAATAAAATTAATACTTCTCTATATAATCAAAATCATTCGAATAGAGAAAAATTCTTTTAAATCTAAAAGCTTTTGTTAATATGCGACATCTAGAAATATATATCCGTTGAGATATAGCGTTAACCAATCAGATACGAGTTCGTTGTGAAAAAAAGTACTAGACATATTCTGTAATTTCCTTTTTTTCATTGATTGTCTTATTCATCGAGCAAACAATCTTATTATCATTTTTGATAATTATGTCGTCAGCTTATTCATTTACTGGTGGTAGTTTACGTTTAAAAAGCGATTCATCAAGTGCAGTTCAAGGTGGAAAAGTAGCAAAAAAAAATAAACATAAATCGAAATCGAAATCAAAATCATCGACTATTGTTGAAGCACCATCATCAAAAATGGAACATGTTGCATCAACAATAAAAACAAGTTCAATTGATCAACATGGTCCACCACGTCGTGATCTTCGTACACCAGCTGAAATTGCTTATGATCAAGCCATGGCTAAACGTGCTGAAGAAAAAGTTCTACAAAAAGCAGCTAAATCACATAAGGAACAAGTTGAAGAACTTAATTCTTATTTAGATAAACTTACAGAATATAATGATATTCCGAAAGTTAGTTGGACAAAATAAACTTTGTATTATATATTCATTTCAATAAAATAAAACTAAAACAAAGAAAAAAACATTACATTTCTTCATTTTGTGCAAATAAAATAATATTTATTTCAGATTGGTAAAATGTCACGATCTATGGATGATGATTTTACTTATTTTGTTAAAATTATTGATGATAATGATGAACGATATTATCTTAAAAGTTCAATTGATGAAAGAACAAATACAATTATGATGCAATTAACAAATTTAAAAGTTGGATGGATTGGAACATGTATATATTTCATATATTATTTTATTTTATTTATTGATTTGTCTTTGAATATATTTAGTAACTCAACAACAAGTGAAAATGTTAGCAAAAAGATTTCCACCGGAACAATTCGATACATTTTATTCACATACACAACGTGCTTTTTCCAAAGGAAATCATTCTGAAGCTGATGGAAAAACTTATGTCTTTCATTGTAAAAAAAGTGAAAAAAATCGACTTGAGGTATTTATAGTTTTCTTTTTAAACGATTAATTACAACTAATAATGAAATACTAAGATACATATTCATAAAAACAAAAACATTCTTTTGAATTGTGTAGAAGAGTATTTCGTCGTAAAACGCTTCGTCGAACAATAATTGTCGTTCTGACTTTCTTATTGTGGGAGTGAGTAATCGTGCGCGTAACTTTGTTGTCGCTTACACCTTCACTAATTATCCACGCATTCTATTTTTACGCATTGAATTCTGGAACTACGAATGTTTTTTTTCTATGCACATCCAATGAGATTTTGTTAACTTGAATTTTGTATTATTCCAAATGTTCTTCACATATCACAGTGATCTATTTTATAATATTTTTTTTTTAAAGTTTGTATGGAAACAAATGGTTGATGATCTTAATTCATTGAAAATCATAGGAAGTGCCGAACTTCAAGAACGACCTATTGAAGAAGTCAGTTATTTTATTTTTAATTATTTAAAAATATATTTTTATGAAAACAAAACATTCTAGATATTAGCTAAAATGATGGATCATGCTATCGATGAAATGGAAACATTACGATCGATAAGTGAAGAAAAAATTTATGAAATTCAACGTATTAATGGTCAATTAAATAAAGCTCTTGAAGTAAATTAAAATACATATATATTTATTATATTGATTACTATTGCATTTTTATTTAGACAGTTAAACAAACAGTTGATATGAAAGAAAAACTTGAAGCTGATCTGTATCGAAAGGTAAATAAACTATATATTGATAATAGACATAACATAGAATATTTACATAAAAATATACAAATTATAAACTAACAACACTAGTCCTTTGATTTGTTCCTTGATTATCCATATTTAACAAGCGTTTTTTCATATTCTTCATCATTTCTAGAAGAATTTTTTCTGTTTGAGGAGTTTTTGTTATGAAATCATTCGAAATTTTTTCTACTAATGATGGATAATCATGTTCAATAATTTGTGACCATTCATAAGATATTGAATCCAAATCAGTTGCATTCCAATTTTTCCATGCAGCAAAACGTGATTCATATACATTTTGACGTTCCACAATAAATGAAAGTTCATCAGAATATGATGCAAGTAAAAGTTCTAAATGACGTCGTAATCTACCTAATGTTGTTTGTTCTTCTCGATCAAATGATTGACTTATTGTTAATGGAGTTTGTTGATCATCGACAATAAGTAATGTTGTTAATAAAACTTGAAGTGCAGCTTTAATTTCATCATTCTGTTCAAAATATGATTCTAAATGTTTTCGTGAATCAAGTATTGAACAACAATTTTTTAATAGATAATTAAATAATTGAAAACGTGGAGTTTTAGATTGAAATTGATCTAATGCTAATTGTTTTAAATGTATCCAATAATCGGATATTTGATTAATTGTTTCAGTTGTTTTATTTGTTAAAACTTCAATAAGTTTTTTAACTGATCGATTTAATTCCGATTGACGTTGTTTACATTGTGTTATATATTCAGCTGTATGCATATATTGTTCATTAAAACTCATAAATTTACGTACAGGTGTAACAGGTACTATTAATGGTGTAGTTTCTGTTTTGGATTCATCGTCAATATCTATATCAATAATTATAGTTGGTCGATTAGGAAGTTTAGCGGATGATGTTTTTTTAATTGTTGAAATTGATTCTTTCGTACATGTCGGTGTAGAATGGCGATGTCGAGATGAATTTATTAATTTACGAAGATAATTTGATTTTTTCTTTGGATTTGCTGGTTGTGATGGATCAGAATTTTCATCTTCAGTTTGTTCAGTATCGATATTTTGTTTATTTGATTGTGTTGTTGACTGTTTTTCAATATTAAATGATTTAAGTCGAAGTATTGGTTTATTTTCTAAAATCTGATTATTTTCAATTATACTTGATGGTCTTATTTCATCAGCTGATGTTATTCGATAAAGATTTCGATTTGTAATCATATCAGTTTTATGATTTTCAACATGTTGATCATAACATTTTGGACAATGAACACTAAAACAATAAAAACATGTATCAAGTTGATTTGATGGATTTATTTGTTGACATGTTTCACATAAAAGTGTATTTATTAATAATTGAATCGAATGATTTTGTTCTAAATTTTCTAAAGAATTAATACGATGTGAAACTGAACATTTTGGACATGTTATTAATTTTATTTGATTATCATTTGGTATTGAGGAATTATGAAGATTTTGTAGACATTTATAACAGAATGTATGTTGACATGGTAATAATGTTGGTTTCATCATTGGAAGTGAACATATTGGACATAATAAAGGTGATACAGATGAACCATTATTTGATGGAATAACTAATGTAAATAGATCGGCAGCGGATTGAGATGAATTAGAACGACGATGATTCGATTTATGAACAAATGCTTCTTGACTTTGACTACGAAACTGAATCATAGAACAGTATTTATTATTACTATTATTAATACGTATCATAATTAATAAAAAATTTCCTATTCTTTCACAATTTTCTATGTATTTTTTATTTTGATATGATATCAACTAATCAAGGTTTGATGTTTATCTAATATAACCGTTATGCTTTCGTGACCATAATATATAGTTGAGGGAGGTGTATGCAATGACACATATTATAACTCATTTTAACAATGAAAAGAGAGGGAGAGGAAATGACGGGTAGTCTACACCTTATTGACAGTTAAATATAGGCATGTGTCATTAATGTAATTTTTTAGTATGGTTATATTGTATTATACTATTTGTTTTGTAAATAGAATAATATTGTATTTACAAAAAGATATGTCTCGCTGGTAAAAATACAAGTTTGATTAAATTGAAAAGCAGACTATAGAATTTTGTATTAAAATAATATTTGAAAAATAATTCCTATACAAATGCATGTTTGTTTTGTCTAATTAAGAAGTAAATATAGGGAAAAAAACCACAAGTTGTTTTCTTAATAAATTCGGAGAAAAAAGAAGGTTTGTTTTTTCTCTTACCGGTGGTATGTGCATTCGTGTTTTAATAAAATTCTTCTGACAATAACGATAATCAGCGGATAAAGAGAGCAACATCATTGTGATCGTTTTTTTTATTCGAAATTGGTTTTTATGTTACTAATATATATAAAAATCCTTCATGTTCTTCGAGTGCGTATAGGTATATATTGATTTTATTACATTCAAGTGCTGTCACATATTCAAAAAACAGTCTGTATAGGTCGTTCGCCGATATTTTTTATATTTCTTTTCTGTCACAAATAAAAGACTCATGATGTCATTTCAACAACATAAATCCTTTTCAATATTTTTTTTCTCTTGCATCAGTATATACATGCATATATATACGAATAATAAACTTAATCTTACCCGTTCAATTTTCTTTGAATGTTCTTGCATGAGAGACTGTCTTTGATACGAAAAGCGTAACGAAAGAAATGAGAATGAAAAGTAATGTATTATGCAATAACACTCATTAGTCATGTCTATAAAAATTCTGTTTTTTTACTATTGTTAGTGACGATTTGTTAGATTTCTTGTTTGATTGCTTGCCAACAACAAAAAAAAACGTTGCCGATAATTATAACAAACATCAATAACGAAAAGCAAAATGAGAAGTCTTATCATAACATTCGTGTGCATGATCAATTCTTTCATCTATATTATTTTTCTATTGAGTAGGAAGAAAAAAAACAAAACAAAAAATAGGTGTACTCTTATTTATTTGAAGGTGTCATGCCTAAAAAACTCTAAATAATAAGTAAAGTGTATATTAATTATGACTAAAGATACGAAAAAAATTTATTGACTGCTTTATGATGATCATTAAACCGATATAAATATTTTCCTATTCTTTGGAATGAGAAAAATGTTCTTTTTTCTTTTGTTTCTTTTCTTTTAGTTCGTACTTGTATTAAATAGTAAAAAAGGAGAATTAGCTAAACTTAAACGTCAAATTGAATCTTATGAACATGAACATACGAATGGAATTAATGAACATTCTGATGATGAAGGTGTTCGTGCTGGATATAATAGTGGTACTGATGATGAACGTTCAAATGAAGCATTTGCTAATTTACGTGCTCGAAGTACATCACCTGTACATACAACAACAGCACTAAAAGATACTGAACATATGACAAATGGTGAACATAAACGACCAAGAAGTGTTACGAGTGATACAGATACAAGTGGAGATGAAGATCTATATATGGAAGATGAAGTACATGAGGTAATTGAAATAATAATTTGTAATAGATTCGATTAATTATTTTTAAATTAGATACAAGTTCCAATTCATGCATCATCACAATCAGAAATGAATCATAATCTTAATCTTAATCCTAGTCAAGATAGTCTACTTGATTTAGGTGATGATCGAATGGATTACAGACCATCAACTATTAGTAAACATCATCAACGGTATAAATTATACATTACATAATAGTTCTTTGTTTTTTTAATTGAATATATATATATTATTCTAGACGAAAATATGTCACTGGTGTTAATTCGATTTCAACTCGTCCATATCTTAGGTAAAAAAGAAAAATTTTGAATTCTTTTTTATGTAAATTTTGTGTATTGTTTTAGTCATGCCGGTGCTGGTATCCCACCGACATTAGAAACACCAACATTACCAGAAGAATCTCAAACAACTGAAGATTTATTAGAGAAAATTTGATAAAAAAAAAACAAACTAATAATAATTGTATTTCGTTTTTTGTTTTCTCATTGTAATTGTAAATATTTTACGAATATTTGTTACCGTCCGTTAAATGCGACTGGATATTATACATAGATTAATAAATCTGTAGTTTCTTTTGTAGATCATAGAAAATGAATACAACATCAGACACATATGAGTGCCATGCATGTACTTTTATTCAGTCGATAAAACGACCGACCTGTGAGCTGGTATATATATACATATTTCTTTTTGATGATATTTTTTATTAATCTATTGCCTATAGTGTGAATCACATAATCCATATTTTTTGAGTGAAAACTATACAAAAAATGCAAAAGGAGCTACAGCAATGTTTGACTCTACACAAGAATATAAAGTTGTGGAATGTTCTCAGTGCAATTATATTAATATCGGTGATGATATTCAAAGTGCGTGTTGTTAAAAACTAAAAAAAGAAAAATGTAATTCAATAATGGATATTTTATTATTCTAGTTTGTGAGGGATGTAGAAAGAATCCATATAATGTACATGATTCACCGAAAAAATTTCGTCCTGATTCTGATGATGATGATAATGATAATGTTATAATCGTAGAAGATACTGAAAAGTCACAAACAAAACCTATAGAAGAAAAAGCTGCTGCAGCTGTAGAAAAAGGAATGGATAATAAACAATTAGTACCCTATTTTAATCGATATATACTACTTATAAGAGATCAACGACATCAAAAACAAACATTTACCGTAGATCAATTACATGAATTTCTTACTGAGCTTTTTAATACACTTGAATATAAAACTAATCAATCAGAGGGTGGGTAAATAACAAATATATTTGAATGATTTTTATCTTTTATTTTTTAAGGTCAATTAACTTTTACTACTTGTCAAATTTGTTATGATGAAGATAAACCAATGGTTACTATGAAGACTTGTAATCATTGTGTACTTTGTACAGATGATTTTAATGAATATTTAACAGTACGTATTCGTGATGGTGATATACTTCCATGGATTCCATGTCCAGCTGAATCATGTTCAATTCCATGTCATGCAGAAAATATAGTAAAAGATGGTCATTTAAAATATTTCGAACTTTTAACATTTCTGACAACATATATGTTAAAAAAATTAAGTCGTAATGAAAATTTTATTACATGTATTCATTGTGAAAGAGGTGGTTTTCTTCAAATGGGTCCATCGAAAAAACAAAATGTAACATGTCCAATATGTACTCGAAAACAAACAATAGAAAAAGGTGTTGATGGTGATCTTGATATTGGTATATATATCATTTAAAAGAATAACTTTTTAATTTAATATTTATTTGAAATAGATTTTAAAAAAATGATTCAAACAGGACAACTACGTGAATGTCCAACATGTCGACATTTAACTTTAAAAGAAAAAGGTGTATGTAATGTAATTGAATGTGCAAAATGTGGTATTTGGTGGAATTGGAATACGAGAGAACAAGGGCATAATGGAACTGATTTAAAAAATCGTGCTCGAATGAATGGAACACTTTGGGAACCTGGTAACGCCAATGAGCAAAAAAAAGAGAGAAATTTTTAATTCTTGTTTATTTCTTTCTTTTAGGTGAACTTTATTTTCAACAACAATTAGAAATAGAAAATCCAGAAGAATTTAAAGCTTTATTAGAACGAAATGGTATTACATATGATCCAAACTATGTACGAGGTAGTTGGAATGAGTAACAAAATATCTTTGTGAATTTTATTTATTTTTTTTATATAAATATCGTGAAGTGTGTTTTGTTGTCTTTTTCAATAAATTTTTTTTTGATAATAATTATAATGAAAGAAAAACAAATCTTTCATTAGTTTTAGATACAATGTATTCGATAGCTAATAAACCAGAAAAATGTCATGATTGTGAAGAAAATAATAATAATGATGGATGGTTTATTTGTCAAGGTTTAAATATAAAATACGATTAGATTTCTTATATATATGTGTGTATATATGTATAGAATGCCATCGAATATTTTGTAGTCGACATAGTATTATTCATCGTCATCAATTAATACAAACACCACCATCAACTGAACGATATAATCGTCATGTTCATTTAGATCAAATTGCTGAATGGGAACGAAAAGCTATTGAGAAAATACGAAAACAAGCAGATGATGCTCGTCGTCCATTAATAGCACCACCAACACCAATGACTGAAACATCACCTTCACCTATACTTGTTAATGAACAACAGTCTGGTCCATTCACACGATTATTAACTGCTTCATCAAATTTTGAAAAACAAGTATTAATTAATAAACCGATCGATTATATTTCATTCTATTTTATTTTTTTTTGTCTAGTCACCTATTATTGATGAATATGAATTATTATCTGATGAAACATTAGATGAAATGATTGGTAATAATCCTTTAACATTACCTCCAGATGAAATAAATATTGAAGGACATATTTCATTTGCAAGTCAATATCCATATATGACTGGTATACATCGTCTTCGACTTTCAATTGATAAATTTAATTATCCATTATCATGGGCATTTATTGGTATTGTATCTGAAGGTATTCAAATACAAAATCAAGAAGATTTTAAATCTACAAATCGATCTTCATTTGGATGGCATTTAGGTCGACAATCTATTATTTATAATCGACAAACATCAACTTCATATAATTATGATGGTCGTCATATTCGATCAGGTGATATTTTAACAATTATTATTGATTGTAATCAAAATAAAATTGAAATGAAAAATGAAAGAACATTATATACACATAGTATTTCTATTGATAGTAATTATTGGCCATTTCCTTGGTTATTTGCAGTTAATTTTAACTATAAAAATAAGGATTCAATGCATTTATTGAAATGATCTATTGTTTTTATTATTCATATTTTTAGATAAGTTTTAGATGAATTATGGTTTGGAATATAGTTATCCCCATTGTTTATCGATATACTGCTATAATTACTTTGCCTGTTGCTATTGGTATATTTGATTTTGTTTTTACATCTTTTTTTGTTTAATTTTATTTCTTTTTATAGTTCTCGGTAGTGTTGGATATTACATTGAAAAACGTTATCATAGTAAATCTTATACACCAGTACCTCATGAAAAAGGTATTATAGATGAACGTTCTGAACGACAAGATCAACAGCAACCCACAGCTTCTCCGTATAATATGAATAACGTTATACCAACAACTATTTTCAATAGAAATAATCCTGAAGATTTAAAAAAGATTTAATTATTTATATAGAATATTTTTATATTTTTTAATATATAAAATTCTAACACATTAGTATATATAGTCTTTCATTTTATTCGGATATAGATAATCGATGATTGATTTCGTTTGTTGATTGTTCTGATCGATGTTCATAGATAATATTTGTAAACATATAACAACTGAATGCTAATCCAATAGAATTTCGTATTAATGCAAAAATTAAATCAATAATTTCTTCGGACATTTTTTTTGTATCAAATGAATTAAAAGGATAATATAAGGATTGTTTAATATAACCTGTTGAATAACCATAAATATCAAATAAGAATCGAAGAGATAGAACAGTTATCAAAAATATAATTGAAATTAATAATAGATCAGCCATTTTACGCCATAATGCATAGACAAGAAAATATCGATAGGTTAATGAAATACAACCACCAACAATAGCTCGAATATGAATGTATAGATATGGATGTGTAAAAGGTGATGTTAACATTGAATAATGAAAAATAACTTGTTTCATATATATTAATGTATGATAATTTAAATAAATATAAAAACATGTTAAAAGAAGACGTAATTCAATATAATGTGATCGATTCATGTCGAATGTATGTTGTGACAGATGAGGATTTTTATTAATACTCATTAATAATAGAATACTATAACTCTTGACATTGATTTTATAGCTTTAGATTTTATTACAAATATTATTAGTTTTTTTTCTATTTTAGTATATTATATAATGTCTTCTTCAAAAAGTGCTTTTATTGTTGGCCTTGGTGGAATTACTGCTAGTGGTAAAACAACAATGTGTAAATCTCTTGAACATTTATTTTCTTCTGAAAAATATAATCTTCATATAAAATCATTACATATGGATGATTATTATCGTTCCGATGATGATCCACATCAAAAATATTTAGAAAAATTTGATCAAATCGATTGGGACTGTTTGGATGCAATTGATACAGATCGATTTCTTGTCGATCTTCAATCTCTTCGTTTAACATGTGATATTTTACTTGTCGAAGGCTTTCTTATATTTAATATACCATTACCATGGAAAAATCATCAACTATTTGATTTGGCTTATTATTTTGATTTACCATATGAAGAATGTCGTCAACGAAGATCACGACGAAACTCTCGATCACCTCTTCGACATGAATATTTTGAAAAACATGCTTGGCATGCACATATTAAAGCAAAAAAAGAAGCATTTGAACAGAATAAAGATATAGAATTAGAAATTGTTGATACGACTGAAGTATCATTTGAAAAAATTCAAGATAAAATTATTAAAGATATTGAAACAGCTCTAAAACATTTTAGTTAAATAAAAAATATTATGTAAGTGTTACAGTCAATTCACTTGTTCCAGATGGGAAACCGAGTTGAGGAGTATAATTCCACCAAAAACTAATAAGAGTATTTTGTCCTTGAATAATAGAAAATATTTGTTTGACATAAGAAGGTGCATTTGCCGATGCACATTGTAAATATGCACTGTTGGAATGTTGACTTCCTGATGTAGTATCAACTGTTGTAGATGATGTAGCATTAGAATATACAGTGGATGTCCAATTCGATAAACCAGATTCGAAACCGCCATTAGAAATGAGTTCTCCACCGTTTTGTTGTGCACTAACATCATCTATCATCTAATATCCTGTATCATCTTCTTGACAACCAAAATCAATTGTAATTTGATTCATTGTTGGAGCTATATAACAACATGAGACATATACCCATCCTCCTGGCGCAGAATATAAACTGTTCAAATAATTATACATAACTGTTGAGCATGCTGTAGTACTACTTGTAGTACATACAGGAGTTAGAGTAGTTGATGTACCTTTAATAAATATAAAACTTAGAGTAGTAATAACATGAAAGAAAAATAATTATACTAGTCGCTGATATTGTTGCTGTATCTAAGAATATATTTATAAATATCATTTTAATCAAATACTTTTTTGAAAATCTTACTTTTTTTTATAGTACGTGGAATAACAATAGCTAAGATAATACCTGTAATGAGTAAACATGATAAAGCAGAAGCTAATATTATAATACATAGAGGAATTGGTTTTTTCTTCTTTCTATGAAAATAAATATGAATTTTCTAATTCACTTATATATATATACTTTTTAGATAACTGTTGATTTTGTTGTTCGTTAGTCGGATGTACAGAAGACTTTTTATTAGATCTTGCTAATACAGACAACGTTTTGTTGATCACTGAAGATGATGACTTTACTGTTGTCTCATTCAATAAATTAATATTCTAAACGAAAATATGATGTTAAATTGACTAATATATAATGAATATACATTAATGAAAATAAAATACTTTTCTATTTGGTTGAAGTAGATACGATGGTGTATTAATATGATGCGTCTGATTAGAATAGTTTATGGAAGGTGGTGTTACAAGAATAGTTTTATTTTCAGTTGGATCTATATTTTGTTGTTGTTGTTGTTGTTGAAAATATGATTCTGAAGTAATCAAAGCATGATCACTATTCGTGTAGTGAATTTGTTCTGCAGTATGTGAGATTTCAACATTGTATTCTGAATGTTGTTTGTAAGTATTCTCGTGTGATTGAATAGCATCATGTTGAGTATCGTTATCTTCTTTATCTTTCTGTTTATTTTTTACAATCTTTTTAGTAGTTGAAACATGAGTAATACGAGTGTTTTCTTTTAACTGGTTGGATGTGATTAATGATCGAGCACTTTGTGCTGATTTTTTAGTATGTTGTCGATGTTTTGCAAATTTCGACTGACGTTTAAGAGATTTCCTGAGGGTAAGACGAACAGTAACAGATTTATCATGAGTAACTCGAATCGCCATACGAAAAAATGAAATTCAACAAAAAGAAACAATCTGTATTATATATTGCTTATTTACACAAAACCATATAATAAAGATATTTCACAATATTTAGATTTTTATATGAAGTAGAGAAGCTGTAAAAATCGATAGTATTTGAATATAAATGAATTTCTCCATTGTAATCAATAATCATACTATACAAACTCAAAAATAATGCATGCACATAGTAATAGAAAATATTCTATAGTACTTCATTGATTTCTAATAAAAATAATACATATTTCTTGTTCTGTTAGTTTAAAATCATCTTGACCAGTTCGGTGCACTATTATAAGTTATAGCTGAACTAATACATTGAGTCAATTCGATTATAGTTGTCAGATGTGATTCTTTTGATTCTGACCCAAAAACTAACCCTCACACAAACACTCTCGTAAATATTTATCTGATATCTTTAAATTTTATCCATTATATAATTGTAATTCTTCAACAAGTTTTACAGTATATTTAATGACTATTGTTTCACAATTCTTTCTGTGAATAAAGCATGCATAAATTCGATTCTAAATTTCACATTTATTACCAATAAAATCTAAAGAAAGCAATGAATATATGAATAGCGTAAAAAAAGATTAAACGAGTGATAAGGCCGTATTAGTAAAAAAATAAGTTTTGTCACAGCTACTATGCCGTATGCGTCATCTATACGACAAGATAGAAAGAAACGAAAAAATGTATATGAATAATACCGTAACACTGGCGATAACAAGCATATCATAAGGATAAAATTGCGTATACCTGATGAAAATTTTATGACTCATTGACTCACGCAAACGAATATAAATGGGAAAAAAACAAGCAATCCCAAGGAGTCAAAATCAAATACGTTTCGCTGGATATTTCCAATCTAACGCAAATGTCATGGTTGATTAATTTTATGAATAAATCTATGTTGGAAACACCAAGTTACTTTTACAACTATAAAAACAACTGAAATCAGGTACAAAAAACATAAAACAAACTCGCATATTTCTCAATTGTATCGCACAATTGGCAAGTGAGTTTTATTTGATTAGAAGATGTATTATTCTTCAAATGCAATGTCAACTCTTGGTAATGCTGTGACTTTACTTCAGGATAAGCGACTTCGTTCTGATAACGGTGCTTATTATGCCGCAATGCAAGGAGATGGTAATTTTGTCCTGTATACAAAATCTGGAAAAGCTCTTTGGGCTAGTCAGACAAATGGTAAAGGTCACGGTCCTTATCGTTTAGTGATGCAAGACGATGGTAATTTAGTTCTATATGATATATATGGCACGGCAACGTGGTCATCTAAAACAGATAAAAAAGGAATTAAACCACATCATCTAATTATGCAAGATGATGGTAATCTTGTTATCTATGATGGTGATCATAACCAAATGTGGACAACTGGTGCTGATCGTTAACTAAAAAAGACAATAAACATAAACTGAATATGTAATCGTTTTTTATTAGTTAATATAAAATAAACCAGAGCTTTCGATACTTCAAGCATCATCGACGGTAGCATGATAATAAACTATAATTGTGTATCACTGAAAATACAAATAACAAATACAACAATTAATAGAACACCATAATATATTTTATTTGAGGGTGTGGGTG